CTGTCGCTACCTCGGCTGCCCGGTTGATAGTTCGATGGGGGGGGGGGGGGGGGCATTTCCAGTGCTGCAGGCCGTAGGGGACAGCGAACGATGGCGTGCAGCGGGTATAGTCTGTTCACGGTAAAGTGAGCACTCTTTTTTTAAAGGCCCTCTCGTTTGGAATAATGTCCGACAGATATATTTTATTGTTGAATTAGGCACATCAATCACGTGACCAACAGCCAATCAGAGGTGGCCATTAATTCTATCCGTCGGTCAAAACCTTGGCAAGCTTTAACGTTTGACGGATGAAATTACAGCCTTCTAAACTTGCAAGTTTTGTTACTCGTTCAACTCGAGTTAATTACAAGGCTGTGTAGTGTGTGCAGTGTTTTGTTTTCATATGTTGGTTTGTAAACTGAAATCGAGTTACCCACATTTTTCCTGAAGATTAATTGATAGTTACGTTTGGAAACACGAGCTCCTTTTGTGCAACAGTAAAAATAATAAAGTAACGCTTTATTTGATATTTGTAATTTTTTTTTGCGTCGATTCATTTCCGTTATGTACGTGTATGTGCGTTTTGGGTATTTAAAACACAATTTCCGCTTAAAAGATTTTTACTTTTTGTGGAGAATTTTTTTCCTGTTTGTAAAAAGTTTTATTTTTATTAGTTTGCAGCAATGAACTTACGACGGACGTACGAAGTCTGGTTGTAAATCACTCGGCTGGGAGACGGACGGACGTGACGGGTTATTGTAAATCCTGCCTTAGACTTTAATTTTCAAGTGCGGTGCAATATATACACTGTGTTTATTACTCACATGGCATTATTTACAAAAAAAAAAAAATGTAGAAAGGAAAATAAAATAACTAAGGTGTCAAAAGTGCTCATTTTACATTAAATACCGTAGACTACATCTCCTGTAGGCTGTTAACGGTAATCTGAGCACTTTTGAAAACCCTTCTTGAGATCTACGTGTATGCATATTCTTCTACCGTATTAGCATTGCCATGGACCTAATCACTTTACTGATGCGTGGGTCAAGTGAAACTGTACTGATGGGTGGGTCAAGTGAAACTGTGAATTTTTTTTTAGAAAAGTATGCCTAAACGTCTTACAGATCCACTTGTTCTTAAAAATAAACATTTTCCTTATTCACAAATGTTTATCTGACACATATTTCAACTTTAAGAAATGGAACTATGTAATTCCTCTCCGTCGTTATCAATTTTACTGGGTGTACTCCAGTCACTGTTCGAGTTAAAATATTCCATGCATTAATAGCCACTGAAACTTTTCAAAGGTTTGTTTAAAAACATATTAATTAACCATAAACGACCAATAGAAATGTAGGTGAGTCCTCAATAATTTACAATATTTTTACATGTAAAGCTGTTCGCAATATCCCAACGAACCCGACACGACTAAATCTGAGTAGCAGCCAATGAAAATCAAGGTCACTGTGACGCCAGTCCGACAAAACCGCAGCCTCGACAACCCGGCAAAAGTAGATTCTATTTCTACACTATCTACCAAAAAGTAATTGGGCACCTGTCCACAATGTTTGCTCGGTGGTTGTCACCCCTTTAGAATCTCGTAGGGCCACCTCTTGTGGCTATAACAGCAGTCACCCTGTGTGGCATGCTCTATACGAGTGTATGCAGGACATCCACGGGGATTCGTAGCCATTCCTCTTGCAACCATTCCATGAGTTGAGTAATGGATTTTGGCCGCGCCTGACGAGCCCTCACCCGGCGATCCAAATCGTTCCAAAGATGTTCTATAGGGTTGAGGTCGGGACTCTGGGCGGGCCAGTCCAATCGGCGAACATTGTTGTCGGCGTACCACTGCATAGCAGCCTTTCAAACATGGCACCTGGCATTGTCATCCTAGAAGTAACATGGGTCCATTCCTTAAAAACGGCACAATGTTGGGAGCATTTCATTATACAGAATGTTACAATAGACCTCTCTGTCCATGCTACCACGGACAAACACCAGCGGTCCTACGCCGAAGGCCGTGAAACACGGGTCAACTGACGTACTGTATTACCTATCTTCACGGGTTCCCATTACTTTTTGGTCGATAATATACTTTCCATCGTGTCGGACTCGTTGGGGCGTGAAAAAAATATGAATACAACATAAGACAAAATTTCGTGTGTATTTTCCTACTGTAGTAAATAATAAACTAACTTGCCGCCAAAATAATACCATTCCTGTTTGTTTCTATGTACTATTTAATTCTCTTGTAAATTCAAATAGGCCCATTGTCATAAGCAAATTAATCATTCACTCTATCGCGAGTTTGAAAAAGTAAATATTGAATATTATGACGATAGCCTGCCGTTTTAGAATTTTCCAACAGCCAACAAAATTACTTGTTGGGGAAATTTTATCGTGGTATTGAGAATACTGGATAAAATTTAATATGAAGTTCCGTCCAGCTCTGACGTCATTATCTGTTTGCCGTGTCGTGTTCGTCGGGCTATTGCAGCGTCATTAAAGTGCAAAAAGATGAGATTAATTTTTTAAAAAATTTAATTATTATATATGGTAATTTTAAATTAATCTACATCTTAGTCCAAACAAATTTCATAATCGTAAAAAATATCTTACGTTTAATGGTTGCTCAAGACTCCATTTTGAAGTTGGGCGGTAAAATTCGCGAACTGGGATAAAATTAGTCAGAAGTTGCAGCGTTATTTCAGACAAACTAAGCGTATTCCCAAGAACTTATTGCCTAAGGGAACTCTTAAATCTTCGGTACGAATTTTTATACCTTTTATAGTGAAGTTAAATGTTTCATAATTACGCTTACGACATTGCGCCAAAAGTAACTTCTCTTGTTCATGTGGAATTTTTATCTGTGACATTGTGAAATATAAATACCCCACTGAGATGTTGCGAAATATTAATTCCCCCACCGAGATGTTGCGAACTATAAATACCCCCACTGTGATGCTGCGAAATATGAATACCCCCACTGTGACGTTGCGAAATATAAATACCCCCACTGTGACGTTGCGAAATATAAATACACCCACTGTGATGCTGCGAAATATGAATACCCCCACTGTGACGTTGCGAAATATGAATACCCCCACTGTGATGCTGCGAAATATGAATACCCCCACTGTGATGCTGCGAAATATGAATACCCCCACTGTGATGCTGCGAAATATGAATACCCCCACTGTGATGCTGCGAAATATAAATACCCCCACTGTGATGCTGCGAAATATAAATACCCCCACTGTGACGTTGCGAAATATGAATACCCCCATTGTGATGCTGCGAAATATGAATACCCCCACTGTGACGTTGCGAAATATAAATACCCTCAAAGTATTTAAAGTATATTAAGATGTTTTAACGCTATTTTAAGAACGTGGAAAACACTGAGTTGAATAAATATTTTTTATTGCCTCCACAGATAACTTAACAATTTATTTTTAAGAATAGTTTGAGATTAGAATAATCAAGTACGAAGATAAAACGCCACCAGTTACGTTTAATATAATTTACATAGGCCTAATTTTACGAATTGTAGTTGTAGCACGCAGATTTTCACTGTAACTGTGGCTATAATTATGTGTGCAATTTAAATCTGAATCAGTGAGAAATTTGCTGTTTCAATCAGTGAACAGTACCTGACTGATTCAACAGTCACTTCAGTGAATGTAACCGAATAATCAGTGGAAAAAATTGCCAGTTTTCTTTCACTTATTGATTTAGTGAAATTTTTCACTAATCCATTAGCCCCTTTTTTTTCCCAGTGATTTTTTGGCCGTCAAACGACGAGTAAAAATCGTTGTTAAAAAATTGTGTATCAAGTGAAATAACAACGCATAAACTAATCAAACCAATTCAAAATACTTTCTAAAATGTGTTTCGTCTTTCAAAACACCAGTTTGTGGGGTAAAATGAACAATTAAGTCTACCATGCCATTTTTAAGCGTTTCATTTCGTTTTCGTGTCCACTAGAGAAATTGCAGGTAAACTTCCTAAACAGTAATTTAAGTTTTTAATGTATACACTATAAGGAAATAATAGCACGCATTAAGCTGCAGATATGCCTATAGGAATGTTTAGTGTCGTTACTGTACAAAGTTGGAAATTTCCCTACGCATTTGACTGTTTCCTGAGTAAACATAGGAAAGTTACAATGAATGTACAAGGGACGGGGGGGGGGGGGATTTTATTCCCGCTTTCTCACTGAGCATATAGGCCTACACTGGTATGGTAAATTTCCGAATAATTTCTTAATGTGTAGCCATCGCAGCGCTATGTTTGAAGGTTTAAACTACACATAATGTGGTGAAGAGAGTGCACTCATGTACAATCAAAAATAAAAAAAATAAAAGGCCTACAAATTAAAACTGCACACTCTCGTTGAGGAAGTATGCTGTAAGCAGTTTTTTTTCTCTCGAAAACATGACAGTTTTCCTGCGACAGTTGTTAGAAGGTGGAACAGTATTTATTGAACTCCATATTCGTCCGTCCATTTTACCCAACTAGAAATACTCTGCGTTTATTCACGCAAATAAAACTGTATTCGTGTGAATAATTCGAATTTCATTATTCTATGATTATTTATCACTCACTTATATACAAAATACTTCCTATTGGTTGTCCAGTACAGCAAGACGAAGGTTTGTATAAAAAAATAATCCATCCGCGATCTACGAAAAAAAATTGCTTAATGTTAGTGGGGACAGTTTTAAATACAAGGCGGATTGTCTTGTGCTTTTAAAGTCTCGCTTTAATAATAAGTGTATTAGTTTATGTATGTATTACGTTTTACGGATATTTTTAAGGAACACAGATTTTACTTTCTTAGGTGCTAGAAATAATTAATAGCAAAATGGAGCAAATACATGCTTAAATGAACGAAGTTTTATAGTTTCTTAAAATAACACTATAATTAGGCCTAAACAATCGCTCTGAAAATCTGAAGTTGTTTCGAGGCCTTGAGTAAAGAGTTAATATTTTTTTGAACCGGATGAAATAAACGCTCCTCCGGGCCGGATTTAGATCAGCGACCTACGTCGTACAATATACAGTCCACCGCTCTACCAACTGAGCCACCAGAGGAAACTTGCAAGTTGTTTGATCTGCTCGTGTGGCAAGCAGTTTGGAGAAGGTGGCCCACCGCCAAGCTACTGAAAGTGACATGTATTTACTCTTAAGCGTGCTGTTAATTTGTTGATTCGAGTTCGTCCCATCTTAGACTACGAGTTTCTGTGAGGTTGATGGCATAATGTTGATAAAGCAGTGCCGTAACGTCATTTCTCTTCACCGGGGAAAGCTCGCAAGGAACGATTTACAAACAGATTTTTTCTATCCTTCAGTCTCAAGTAGTATAATTGGTGAATTGTTTTAATTGCTGCTATTGGCTGATTTAACATCTTTTTCTACTGGTTCTTAAGACTGTGTCTGAATTCGCTTGAAATACCTACTTGTGCGTGCCTGTCCCCGGAAGTGACATCACAAATGCCGGCCGAACTGCAAGTGATGTACGCGAGTATACAAGTATATGAAGATGTATACTTCTCGCGTACTTGCAGTAAATGTACCGCCATTTTAGAAGCAATTTGTAGGTTACTGGAGACGTAATTATTTTATTTAAATTTTAGTAGGGCTACCTTACGGGCTTGGTAGCTTGGAATTTTGAACTGCGTACATAATTTTCGTAAGGTGTGTCTTAAAGAAATATCTAAATAATAAACTCTAATTAGGACAGTGTACATAACCTACCAAAGCCACAGCAAAGCAAGCAAACGAAATTGAAAACTCAAGTACAATCAGCAAGACGATAAAAGTTATGTGGATCAATTTGAAATATTATTTTAATCTTTTTTTTTTTTACCCGATAACTTTCTGCAATTACTTAGTTATTTGTAGGGATACACATTCATTAAAAGTATTCAACTACTAATAGAAGTTGCCGAAGCCAACAAGACTGCCTGTCCGAATTCATCAATTTTGGTGCCAAAGGTATGTAAAGTATGCAAGGATACAAGTACACGAGTACATGCCTGAATTCATTCGGACACGGCCTGCGTGAGTTGCATTGGAGCGACGCTTAAAGGCTGTTCACGATAAAGTGAGCACTTTTGAAGTCAACCTTAAAATAATTCACTGCCCCTGCGTGCATATATTTTAACGTGCTCACTGAGTGACATGCGCCTAGTAAAGTTGGTAGCGAAGAATGGAAAGTAGTTTAATATATTAACGTCGAAAAAAATGTGTAAGGTAACCATTTGTGATAACTTAAATTATTTATTTCGCGTTCTGTTTGTTTTTAATGCATCGAAGTGTAAAAAAGAACAGATTTGTAAAATGTTTACTTTTCTAATGATTTCACATGTTCACTTGACCGACGCATCAACAAAGTGATGAGGCCCACGCAGTGTTAATTTTATATAAGGCGGAAGAATACGCAAAGTGGATACAAGTAGATCTTAAGCAGGGCTTTTAAAAGTGCTCAGTTTACCGTGAACAGCCTAAAGTAACGCCTCATTAACTGTTCCAATAAAAATTGTTCCACTGTTTTGAAAACACTCTTTCATATACAGAGTAGGCTACATGAAATTTTCTTCCGATGTAAATGATCTTATGTTTGCTAGTGAATTAGTTTGATTTACTCGCAACAAACGTGTTATAGGCTGTTCACAGTAAATTGAGCACTTTTTAAGGCCCTTCTAATCGGCGTTAACGACTAATAAATACAATTTATTACACCTTCAGACATTAACTTCTGGGAGTGAAGAAAAGTATACACTGCGTTTGTTTGTCGCAAGACAATGTTTGTGTTAAGAAGCGACAGGAACACAGAAATCTGCTAAAAGGAAAGATTCAGCAGGGCCTTAAAAAGTGCTCACTTTACCGTGGACAGCCTATAATTTAAATAATGTAATTTACCTGCAGCGATCTCTTTAACCGTTATTCTTTGGTAGAACTACGGGGCATGGGCTCGACAAAAGGTTACTCCATTGAAATGGGTGTGGCATGTGCATTAAGTCTAACGTAAAGAACGGCAATGAAACATATAGAATCAAAAAAAATTTACTTGACTTTAGGTTTTAAATGCAAAGGTTTAGGCGTGAAGAAAGAAATAAACAAATGAAAATGTGTTTAAGTAGCTATAGTTTCAAGAAATATTCGTGATAAAACTTTTGTAACGGGGGTCATAAATTACAACACATCAGTTGCAATCTCGCAATGGTTTGACATAACTCTGCGAGACAAGGCAATAAAACATATAATAAAAAAAAAAATTGCTTACCTTTAAGGTTTTAAATGTAAAGATTTAGGCGTAAAGAAAGAAAATAAACAAATGAAAATGTGTTAGTTTCAATAAATAATCGTGATACAATTTTTTGTAACGGGCGTGTCATAAATTACAAATCATCAGTTGAAATCTCGCAATGCTTTGACTTAACTCTGTGAGACAAGCAGCTTGAGTTTTTTCATGTCTTTTTTTTCTTTCGAAAGTATAAAACAAGCAAGAGCAACGGTTTAGGAATGAAATAATGAATTACTTTTCATATCATAATATTGTAGTGTGGTGGGTGTGGCAGTCATTGTAATTGGATTGTCTATCTCCAATATTACGTACTAAAGGCTGTTCACGGTAAAGTGAACACTTTAGAAAAGAACGTTAGAAAAATGTCACTGCGCTCCTCCATGCATATATTTTAATAGGCGCACTGAGTGACATTCGCCCAGTAAAGTTGGTAACGTTGGACAGACAGTAGTTCCGTATCTTAGCGTCGAATTAAAAGTGTTAGGTAAGCATTTGTGATAACTTAAATTTATTTCTTCTTTCGCTTCCTGTTTTAATTTTAATGCGCAGTAGTGTAAAAATTAACAGCTATGTAAAGTATATTTCTTTTATAATTATTTTACAGTTCGACTTATTCGACGTATGAATAAAGTGATGAGACCCATTGCAATGCTAATTTTACTTAAGGCGGAGGAATACACAACGTGCATACAAGTATATCTAAAACTGGACTTTCAGAAGTGCTCATTTTGCCGTGAACAGATTATACACAATTTATCGTAGCAGACATTACGATTGATGTCGTAGCTGCCACGTTCAAATTGAAGTAAGTATACATTTTTTTTATATAAGTCGAGGGTGAAAAAATGTTTTATGCACATGAAACGTTAGGTCCCTACATAATGTTGTAACTGGCGTGACATAGTAATCGTATCCCCGAAGCTAAATAAAATATCACGCTTACTTTCTTTGTTCCAAGAAAATGCTGACCGTTTTATTCTTCTCGCGACCGTATAGAGGCTGTTCAGGGTAAAGTGAGCACTTTTGAAAGCCCTCTCATTTGGAGTAATAGTTAATAGAAGTAATTTGTTTTAGTCCGACGTGAACTTTCGATTGCAGTGGAATGTATACACTGTCTTTATTACTTACATGCCAATATTTATTTTAAAAGGGGGTTAAAGGATAAGAAATGGCTGAAAGGAAAAAGTGACTAGGGCCCCAAAAGTGCTCACTTTACCGTGAACAGCCTGTAGATAAGCTGCCCTCTAAATAAATTATCAGTTGATCATGGAATTTAGAGTAACAGTGAGGTCAATTCTGGCAATAAAATCTTGCCGAAAATGTAAATCAAATATTCAGCAGTCTAATTTTTTTTTAAAGAAATGGTATGATTATTAAAAATATACGTATATCTTTTTTTGTGAATTTTCAAATTTTTCTGACGATCCAATTAAAAATAAACAACAATTTATAATATTTTTTTAAAAATAATACCGAGACATATTTCACTCTTCAAAAATGTTTTGTACGTCAACAGGAAAACCGCTTGGAAACCCAGTTGCCAAGAAAATTCTTTGTAAAACTACAAACAGTTTTCTTGTTAAATCTTCGAAGCATATATTTGTAATATTACAAATTATAGCTTTGCATCACATCTCACATCATTGAGAAGTGTTACCCACGAGGCAAACTTCACCTACGAGCTAAGCACTTACTTTTACCTGCAAAAATGTTTAACTGGAAGAATACATTAATTTCAATTCAAGGGTTCCTCGTAGCTAGGGGGAAAATTACCAGTTAATGAGTAATACGGTCACGCCTGATTGAAATTGCCGTTTCATCATGATCGTTCGAGTTGTTTGAAATGTTTTACGTTAAGTCGAACTCGCGATACATTTCTTTTTGCGCGAAACCACGTCTTACATCGCCCATAGTTTTCGCACGAACAGCTACATGCGGGTTTTACGTTGTCGAGTGTCCGCCATCTTGCTGGAGCTCGTAGACACGGTCCTTGTAGTTTTACGAGAGAAATCTTCGTACTGTTATAAGCCGTTCACGGCTTTCTGAAGCCGTTTCATCAGACATCATAACTTTTCATTGCGGCCTCTGACTTTTGTTTTTCGGTATGGCGAATGTATACACTGTGTTTATTACTCGCATGGCAGGGTTTACATTAACAAGTGGTGGAAGGATATCAATTGGCGGAAAGAAAAAAAAAAGTAACTAGGGCTTGAAAAGTGCTCACTTTATCGTGATCGGGGTTTACAATCTTTTGTAAAATTACAAACAATCTCTCAGTAAAAATTACGGAATTTTTTTTTCCCACAGCGTTCGTGTGGAATTATAGTGAAACATTGTCTGATTTGAGATCAACCTAAGGACCGGGTTTCTACGCCTGCTGTTGCGTAAACTCGTGTGCAACAACCGGAAACGGTATTGAGCTAACGCCGGCACGCTCTGCGAACGTTCTCCAGCCGCTGTTGTGCCGATGTAAATTACTTTTTTTTTTTTATCCCCGCCGCAGAGTCCGGGGATTATTACAGTTCTGCACGATGTGTGTGTGTGTGTGTGTGTGCGTTTTTTTTTTCGCGCCGAAGCGAACGTAGTGTATATTTTTCTGATGTTCTCGTCGTGCAGTGACGGCGTCATTATGGCACAGCTCTGCCGGTTTGGAACGGCGAAATATCCCTTCGCCGCAGGAAGTCGCAGCACCGCTCGACATCGCCGCTGGGCGCGATGTGGAAAAACTTCGGAACAAAGGGCAGCGCGAGCCGCGCAAAAAAAAAAAAATTCTTGCCGAATGCTG